GCAAGCGTGCATATAGGAAACAAGTAAGCTTGATTTTCATATAAAAATGGCAGTCGAAAATCCACACCACTTCTTTACATAGATTAGCAATGAGTTAGTTTCAGTGAGGATATCCCAATCTCTCTGCAAGACTTGGTCATCAGGCTTCTCTCCACAGTTTTGCCAAAGACTTGCCGGTTTCTCATCCTCTTTTAGACAAAACCACTTATCTACTACTTCATATACCACAGTATTTTAAGGAGTTTAATAAAACCTTCATGTTTTCATTTTTTCAGTACTTTCCAACATATTGTCAATGCCTTTTTGCTGCATATCTGCACGCATCCCGTCTACATTTTACAACTGAAGTAGAAACAATCTCTGTATTTCCACAGCTGAATCTTTCAAATTTAGGTTGAATTGTCCTTTGCATGGACAGCATACACTGCCCAAAGCTCAAGTCGACATAATGTGGTTATATTTGCAGTCAAGAGATGACAGAATATCACATTACCATATAGGAAGTGAAGGCCCAGACAGACTAATACTTAAATATACCCTTAGCCTTATGCTCTTGGATATTCTCATATAATTAAATGAGAGTATGTTCAGCGGGCAAAACTCAGGCATGCACGTTTGTCTGTGAATTCATATATAAACAGCATTTAACTTTAATTCAATCCTCTAACACATGTGCTTTATTGTCCAGTGTTTTACTTGGTGATAACAGTATTTTTCCTCCAGACAGACTCCTGCAAGCCCCCAGCCGCACAAGTCTTCTTCGATCTCTACTGTTTGCATATTAGTACTACTAAAAGTAGCACTCTGGGGCATTTCTTTAGGAAACAACTGCTAAAATAAAACATTCAGTCACCTACACTGCTCCAGGCAATAGTGTGTCTACTATAACAATACTGGTTTACAACACAGGTGGGTTTTTTTCCTTGGCAATTGGGAAATGCCACACACAACAGAAAACTCTTCTGTGAAGCCTCTACATGATCAGAGAAGTAAATGAAGATACATAAAATTGCATGCAAAAAGGATCAGTCATGGCATTCAGGCAGCTGTATTTCATGACTTGAAATAGACGTGATTCCTTTTTCATGTGCTCATGCTTCTGCTTTTCAAGCTACTCACCCCATCCCCTCAGCTAGGAATTTCACTTCTAATGCAGTTACAGGGGAGAATAAAAGAAAGTTATTCCTCTGTTTTAGGTGTATCCCCTGCATTTCCAGCTGACTGGCCAGCTCAACCTGCTGCCTTTTCTTCATGGCGTTCTGACAAGAAGAAACACAAAGAATTCCTCATTCCATTCAGAGAATAAAAAATATAGAGGTACAGGCCTATGAAAGAAATGAGACATGAAAAAAAAGAAAAAAAATGACAAAATGAAAAGGCTGAATTGAGGTTAGGTGAGGAAGGACATTCAAGGGAAAAAGAAATAAAAGAAATAGAAACAGAAAAGAGACAAAAAAAAAGGATGAGGTTAAAGGAGAATTAAAGTTGGTATGATGAAAATAGAAGGGAGATAAGGTAAAATGATGCTGCAGAGGAAGTAGAGGACAGAGGACAAGATTGGGCACTCTCGAATGAAGAGAGACGCAAAAAGATATTGAGGATCGGGGGGAAAAAAAAGCTACAATGTCATTTTATAAGTAAATCTATTTTACTGGTCCTCTGGTATTTCAAGATGTAATGATCATTAAGCTATTGAGTATTTCCAGCATGTGGTTTCCAGCATTCAGTCCTCGAATCAAACTGCTTTTGGAAACACAGGCCACCTATGCCATGAAACATGGATAAACCGATAGCAAAGGCCCCACTGGATCGGCAGGCCTATACCAGCAAAGAGCAGCTGTAAAAATTTAGCTGTTTTTCATTCAGACCTCAGCATTCAGACTGCGAGGGTACCAGAAGATTGCTTTGTAAGTTTTACATTTTCCTTCCTCTTAACAAAAAAAAAAAAATAAAAAAAAAAAAAAAAGAAAGAAAAAAGAAAAAAAATCCAATAGCTCTTAAAATTGTGGTTTAAAATATGACACAGGTGCCTTACTTATAGTCAACCAAGTAGCTAAGCAGGTTAAAATGGCACAGTAACAATTCTATAGGCAACTGAAGGTAACAGTATAGTAGAACATAATGCCACCAACCCATATTCGATAGAGGATTTTTGCTGACACTTAACTGTACAGAGAGTCAACTGAAAAGTAGAATTACATGCAAAAGACAAAGCGACACCAAAATTTAGCTCCCGATATAAAGATTATATCCCCTGCGCTAGAGGGTGGTGATTATATTTTATTCTATAACCTCACGCATGGTTGATTATACTGCACCGTGGTGAGGCAGAGCAGTAATAGCAGGACTGCAAATGACAGAATTTTGCCAAGTTGTTCTACATAGATATCAGTGAGCTTTGATTAAATGAATAATAAGGACATTAAGGCAAATTATTAGTTCAAGCAAGATCCATTGGTATTTATTTGGCATGCTGTAATGTAATTAAAACTGATCAAACTGTTAATTGTGAACAATTGTTACTCGCATTTAGCCTTTATTTCTGTTTGTGAGTCTTCTGTGAACAGACCATGACTTTTACATATTTCTTTATTATTGCCATCGGTTCTAATTGCTCAAAATCAGTACGTGAGAAAAAAAATAGCCTACAGGTTTCTTTGTACTTTGATACCAAGTTTCAAGTCTACTGAAGTACTCGTATTCAATATACTTGTATACAGTATACTTGTACACTTGGTTGCTCACTTAGCTATCTGATAGCATCTATGTTCCCTCATTTTTAAAAAATGAGGAGGAGGGGTGAAGGAAGTCAAGGGATTATTGAATTTCTAGGAAATGTAAGACAAAGAAGGTAGTAGGCAGGCCTAATAAATGGTACAAAACGCTTAGAAAATCCATCCCATCTATGCAAGGAAGTGTAATATATTTAATGAAGTGAGAAGCTTGCAATTAGAATGAGCAAGATTTTTATTTTCCACCATATAATGGCAGAATGTTCCTCATAATCAATGAATATAGCTCTCTTGTAAAGCAGGAAAGTACTCCAATCACCATCTGACAGGGAATTAAGAAACAAAGGCTACCTTGAACCCTGAGAAATTAGGCCTCTGCATTAACATTATACCCTGGCATATCTCCAGCTGAGCATCCATTTATGTCCCTCCCTTGTTTCTTTTTTTTTTCTTTTTTCTTTTTTTTTTTTTTCAAGAAAGAGAGAGAGAGAAAAAAAAAGGAGTCTCTCTGCAGTGAGAGATTTTCAGTGTGCGCCAGTCAAATCCTTGATCAGAATGGATCTCAGCTCTGCCTACAGGTAGTGACCAGTTAAAGTACAGCTAGAGAGGTTTACCAGTACCTACACAAACATATGTCCGTGAAACAAAGCTTCCCAGGTTTATTATATATCTCCTACCTAACAACATTGTTTCTTGTTTATTTTGTCTCCTTCCTTAGAAAATGTTTTATGCTATGCTACCCTCCATCCAAAAAATAGTCTCATTTTTGAGCAACATTCTCCACATTCTCCACTTACAATCTGGTGTTATTTCTGCTGCTGGAAAGTTAATTAAAAAAAAAAAAAACGCTCTTGAAGCTAATATAGCATGACAGCTTAAATTAATACATTTAAACTAACATCCCTAAATACAGAAACTCTAGCTCTTTCGCCTTGTTTTCCAGTTAGTTCTTCTCTTCATCTGCTTCTGTCTATATTCAGTGTATCATTTTTGTGTGATGTGGAAAAAAAGCATGCTTCAAGCCAGCTGAGAAAGTCTGGCTTATTTTTCTCTTGAGCCAGCAAGAAAACACAGCAAACTAATTTAAAACATGGCAAAGGAATTCATATATGCACTAAACTATTACAAGATCAGAAGTGAATGGTGACTTGGCGAATGGATCACTTGCTAGGTGTTGTGTTTTACCACTGCTCTGTTTCCCATTAGAGGTTCCCATTCCCTCCTAATCATAACTTCCCTGAGCCTCCTCCTCATGTCTGAATGCTCCTCATGGCTCCCAGCGCATAATTGCACTGAAGAGCAATTTACACGATAGTTAAAGATTGCAGCACAGATACTATCGTTTCCTTGAACAATTTTTTCCTGTCCCCTCAGGAATAAGTATCCGAGATTGGGGTCTTCCATTCAGAAGGCATAATAGAAAAAATGCTTCCCCCCCCCCGCCCCCAACATAGGCTATCTGCACACAAGGCAACACAGGGTCTTAGAGCCAGGAAGCTTATTTGTTTTGGATTGTAACAGTGTGTCTGCCTGCTTACTCCTCAGTTTTATGTATTTTTGGAACAACTAAAGAGTGATAAAACAAACACTTTGGAGGCAGGGGATTAATTTAGGAATGAAAAGCAAAAGAAACACAGATCCAAGTGCTCAGTGGGAAGCCCTAGGGATGAGGATGCAGTCTCTTCCTCTGCAACATGAGCCCTTTGCACAGCGCGGCCTTTGCCATGGCCATGGCCGTTGCCTCCACATGGGCCAGCTGGTGCTGCAGGGCTCAGAACCCACCACGCATGGACATGCCGGATGGTTGGAGAGAGTGCCCGTGCCCAGCGCTGTGCCCTTGCGAGCCAGGACGTGGAGAGAACGCTGTGGATGTGTAGCACTAGCTCGCGCTGGCTGACACCGCAGTTAGCCTTCCTGAAGATGCCTTCTGTGGCCCAGACGCACTGGGCACGGTGCTCTCTGCCGAGACTGCTGCCGAGAGGACAGCCGCGCTGGCGGCGCGTTCCCGAGGGAAACCCTCGCCACGTGGCCCACGCAGGGAGCAGCGCCCGGAGCGGCCCGCGGCGCCTGGC